AGTTTTTAAGCCTAGGAATAGGAGAAGGAAGGTATTTTCATATTGTTTTCTAATTTTTCTCTGTTGAAAGTACACTTCCGTCTTCTGTTTATCCATTATAATAATTCATTTCTAAATTAAATAACACTGACAAATTCAAGATCCTAAAATCCAAAGTTTATGAAGAGAGTGATCCTGATAATTAATAAGCAAAATATCAACACATTTTATGCAGTAATTTCCAGCTTCCTGTCTGGATTTTAAGGAATAGCACAACTTTCTTTGATACATTCTTACTGTTTCATGTGTCTGTATTTTTAAACTGCAACAAATTATTTCATCAAAATCATGGGCCTCATGAAGGTTTAGCTGGATTAAGTTCTCTGGGCTGTTTTATGCATAGCAGCAGGGTAAGCTGTTCACAAGATTGTTTAAGAACTCCTGCATAGGAGCTGATCTAAAAGGATGGGCTGACAACTGGAAGAACAGGCTGACTGCCCAATAGCCCTGTTAAAAAATTCCTGTTTACCATTACAGACACAGACCATTTGTCCTGAAATTATAGATGCTAGGCACCAGACACTGTTGTCAAAGAATGAGACTAGACAAGCGACATTTATCTGTCCGTGCTCAATATTTCATATGTCTGAGGAGTCCCTAATGTTAGTGCAGGGACTTGAAGACTGGCAGAAGAAACAATGTGTGTGCTATATCTGTCTTTTAGAGAGAAAAATCCAATCATATTTAGTCAAGTTGTAATACTTCAAAAATATGCAGCGTATGTGAACAATAGGTAGAGTTCCCAATGATTCTGAAAGCAGGTAAACAAATGTTGATGGATGGGAATAAGAGTTTTAAGCGTGGGAGACAATGTTTAAATTAACGTAAAAGATAGAGCATGCTTCCCCCTATTGCCAGCCTTGCATATATGTTTCCCAAAGCTTTACATTTCCTGACTGCCAGCAAATACCTGCGGAACCTCAAAGTCTTGAGCCAAGTTCTCTGGTCAACACCCCTGCCACTGCAGAGATGAAGTCCAGAGTCCACCTGTTGCAGAAATAACTGTGACTCCAACATGCAGCAAATACTGGGTATAATTCTTCATTTGTTTTTTTACTATTTATGTTACTGGTGGCATTCACTAATACTCAGAAATCTTAAAGATCTTAATTAGACCATATTTAAAAGTCTGGAAGTAAGACACAGAATTGAAAGCATTCACGTAGATTGTCTGTATGGAGTGAATTGACCCCTCCAGAAAATGATACAGCTGATCTATCTTAAATAATTATCTTAAGGATGAGATAAATTCTTTTTTGGAGGGTCCTGTTTCCTCAGATTTGCTGACTGAAGTTAGCTAAAATTAATACCACTCTCACTAAACCACATAGGATTGACTCTATGCACTCAATGTCATTGTCCTATGTGGAAATAAACAATTATGGAAACAAAAAGCACCATGCTATATGTAGACAAAAGATCTAAACAGAGGTTGCAAAACTACCTTAAAATCCAAGTTGTAAGTCCTTGACCATGATCTTCTTTTAGTACAATATTTATTGTGTAACAGGGCATCCATTGGACTTCATTTAAAACAAAACAAAGCAAAACAAAACAGAAAATAAAAAAGTTGTCAATGTCTGTACTGCGTGACAGATGTGTGATCTACATTACTGGTCCTTTAATCATCCAGACAGGTGTCCGATTGGAGGACACCCAAGTTGTGCCCTCCATGTGTGTACATCTGCATTTCTTTCCAAAGGAAAACAATGATTTGAAGGGACAGTTGCAGATCCAGATCTCACATCTCCCACATTAGAAACTCTCTTTGTAATCTCTTTTCCCTTTGACTTTACTAACAGAGCAATGAAAAAGAAAAAAAAAAAAAAGGAAAAAGAAAAAAAACAACAAAAGACCCAAACCATCTCCTTATGATTGTATAGGTAAAAAGGATTTTTTTTTTTTTTTTTGCTTGGGTAATGGATTGTAAGAAGTGAAAATTTAGGGGAACAGAACAGACTCTTGAGTCTCCTTCTCTGGCACCCTTATGCATAAAGAACCCCAGTGATGGACAAGGAGGATGGTTGCAGAAGAGGGTTTTATGGCTGTTTTTATAATTTGGAAGTTCCTAGAGGAGCCTCCTTGTAATCTATCCGAGATAAACCAAAAATTTGACCCTTGGACCAAAGCTTGGAGTATGAAGGAACTCCTCTGACTCCTGTACTTATTGTAAATTGCATACAGAAGAAAATTTACTGTTACAATCCAACTTTATTTTCCATTTTCTAAGGAAAATTTTCCTTTGTCAGTTATAGAGGAAGAAGAATTACTTGTAGTTAATGTTTTTACTACTGGTGATATGGATACTTTTTCAGCCATTAATGTAATTATCATATTTCTGCTTAGCTGACACCTCTATTTTCTTTAAGAAATATTAAATGCATTGAATTTTTATAAAAAAGAAAAAATCCACTTTTGTCGCTTTGCTCAAAATTACCTGACAAGACAAGTGAGTACCTTGTGTAGGAGGAATGACTCAAATCTTCATTGTATGGGTTGTTACCTGATGTCATTGTGAAAATGTATGAGTTTACTCATTCATAGAGAATCAGACAAACAAAATGATCTTTCTTACAATCAACCAACCTGATGCCAATTCATCCTTTAATACAGTGGGCCATTGACGGATTAAGGATTTCAGAGTATGCTCTGTAGACATAATCTGTCAGTCAAGCACAGGACAAGGACTCTTTCCCAGGCCAATGGTCAATCTATTATGTGCTAGTATTATCACAGTTATCTTTATTATTTTAAAGAAAAACCAAAGGTTGCAACACTATTTATATCCAAGAAATATATTTTTATTCAGTTTTTTAAGCTAAACTTAGTTTCTTACTGAAAGTGAGCAAAAAAACCTCCCATACATTTCCCAAAAAATGGTCTTCCAGAAATGATTTCTTTTCCTTTTGAAAGATTAAACTAAACTAGAAAGTCTCATTTCCTATAAGAAGTTGATTGCTATCTGATTTGGATTATCATATCATTAAGTTTCTTTGGCTTGCCTAGGTCCATGATTACTATCTAATAAAGTAATGTATATTAGTACTTAAAAGGACTCATATATTAAAAACAGTCTGAATGCTTTGAATCAGAACATTGTGAGTGTTTAGCAAATCAGCATTAAATCTATGTTATATCCATCATCCTGTGCTTCAGCAGAAGTAAGAGATAATTTGTTCATATGTGAGTTTTGGCTAGTCTGAGGAGGAACAGAAATATTGTGAGATCTGACCTGAAGCCTAGTAATAAAGCACTGATAAATTACATGACCTATGCAATGTGTAGATATGTAAAACTATGGGAGAGGTTCAAATACTTTTCCTGTTTTTTTTTTTTTTTTTTTTTTAAATAATATTTTAAAGGCATAGCTGGCATAAGACGATTTTTAGTTAAATTAGATAATGATCCAAGCAAGAAGGGTAAAATGTCAAATACTCCTGTCCCTTATAGGCTGTGGTCATCTCATGTTTGAACTGAAATATCTGCCTTTTGCTAGCAAAAAGACAACAAACCATACTGAGGATTTCACCTTAACAAAAACCTGGGGTTCTAAAGCCATCCATATTATACATATGACCTTTTAGAAAAACTTGGGATTGTTTGGGCACATTAATAACCAGAGCTGAATTAACAATAGTAGATACCCAGAGCTCCATAGACAGGACCAGACTAGTAAAAAGTAGAAAAGTATAATACAGCTGAGAATCTCTAGTGTCTTAAGTGGTGTTTGAGCTGAAAATACCTATTATTCTTCTGAAATGATTAGAGCAGACTTAAGTCATAGCTACATTGAATGACAGTATCTCTCAATTTTATAAGCACTTCTAATACTCACTGCATATGTCCTTACTGAAAACGTTGTATTGTGTAATCATGGATTACTGAAATAAATGCAGAGAATTCATCAGTGGCCTATGTATTTAGTGAATTCTAATCACGACAAAATAAATGTCATCAAGCTTTTAAATTAACTGGAGCCTCCTATTTATTGTTTCCTATTAGGTACACTACTTGACTAGTTAAACTGGTTATTGAATTCTTCATACAGTAGCTCCTGAACTCCTTCAGTCAATTAAATCCTTTATTGCATCTGATTTGTCAATGCCAGTGTCACTTCTAATCTCTTAAATCCACACCAGTTCAGAAGCTTTAAATGTACTTATTCTGTTGCAAAATTAGGAAGTTACGCAGACAGAATCTTTTCCCTCTCCATCCTCCTTCTGTGCAAACCACAAAGCTGCTAACAAAGATATAAAGACTTCAGCCTCTATATATGCACTCATATAGGTACAGAATGAGACATTTTTTTTGATACGAGCTACAGAAGGTAAAAGGGAGAAACATACAAACGAACAAAAACCCTACATTGGGTGGTTTGATACCAGCATATTGAACACTTTTAGTCTTTGACTCAGTTTCTTATCACTTTAAATTACGGAAATTAGTAGAAAAAAAGTACCTTCAACTAATTCCAGAACTGGAAACTTGAACATCTTGGTATTAATCACCACAGTTTTTGATTTATCTGCGAAAGTATTCCAGAACATTTCTTAAAGTTGGTACAACATTAAATCCCCTCTTCTTAAATCTCCCCATTCCTTTGTTCATCAACAAAAGCTCGATTTCACAGGAAAAATACAAGTGGTAAGGGGAAAGGAAGGAAAAAATACAGGTATTAAATCATTGTTCTGTGAATGGTCTTGTCAGCCTAATAACTCCGTAGTTCACCTAAGGAGCAGCATAAGCATGCAGGCTATTTATTTCCATATTGTAAAGTGGAGTTTGCCAGGCACAGACTTGTTTTCCCTTTAAAACATCCCTTTTTTTTTTTTCCGCCAGTAAGAGCTACTCTTTACATATTCCAGCCGTGTAAGGCTCGGAACCGTGCAAGCCATTCCCCTCCTAGGTTAGGCACACCACCTTGATTCTGAAAGAGAAGGGAAACCAGACAAGACTCTTACCAGCCACGGGGAAAAAACAATTGCTTCAGCTGGATCCGGCAGTGCTGCGCGCGAGCCGGCAGCCGGAGCGGTCCTTGGGCCTCACACAAAAGGGAGATAATTGGCTCTCCAGGAAGAGCTGTAAACATCCATCACGGCGGCGCTGGCGGCGGCTGGAGCTGCCCCGGCCGGGCTGGGTGCTCCCGTGCCCGATGATGTCAGAGACATCAACCGGGCGTCCTCTCATTGGCTTCCCTCACCTGGAATCATGCCTTAACCCTAAACTGCCAGCCACGAATTGAAATGTGTCTCTCTAATCGTTATGGATGCACACAGTTGGATTTTTTTTTTACCTTTTTATTTTTTTTTTCTTTTTCCTTTTTATTTATTTTTTTTTTCTTCTTCTTGGAGTAAATGAAACTGTACAAGAAGCTCCTGCTTCAGGGACCAGGAGTGGCAGGTGCTCGTTGCTTAATCAATGTGTCTGGCAATTAAAAAGAAAAAAAAATTCTAAAACCTCATTTGCCTAAATTATTAAACAAGACCCTCAGGTAACTGCATTTTCATAATCTGTTTACTAAATGACAGTAATCATCAAAATATTGTACAGAAGAGGTATTAAAGGAAAGGTTAATGCATGCTGCACCTGGAGAACTCACGTATTTAATGATTTTGCATTGACTCCTTTTTAGCCATAAAATTAATAGAGGTACACATTGAAAAAAGAGTGTAAGTTGTTGCAGTGTCAGGTTGAATACTGTGTCTTTTCAAGTATTTAAAACTAACAGCAAAAGTAAAGATATGCCCAAATGTACATGCACATTTATTCTTTGCATGCTAAATAGCAGCGCAGACATTCTGTAGTAAATGAGGCATGAAACACACTGCCAAATGTATGATGTCCTAAATATAGTGGCACTAAGTATTTTGCTATATTTCAGGCAATAATATAAATCATGTGAACTTTTAAATGAATCCAAATCAGTGCTTAAAGAATTGCTTTTTCCTTAAATGAATATTGTGATTTCTCATCTTTCAGTAACAAAAAATCCTATTGCTGTATGGAAAACCACAAAATCTGTGGAAACTAATTTTTTTTTTTTCAATAGATAGGAACCTGGTTCAGTATTTATTTGCAGTAAATTATATACCACCCAGTTTATTTATGGTCTGCTCCCTCTCATGACAAAAAAAAAAAATAAATATTTTTTAAAATTCTCTTACTCAGTTTGTTCTCCGAAGAAAAAAACAAAACCAAAGAACCAACCACACTAAGCCAAACAAACAGAAAAAACAAAATATAATCAGACACAGTTTACCTTAATATATAAAACATTTAACATAAGATTTCTAGAATAAACTTGATAAACAGCTCTGCCATTTCCTTGTGGTTCTTTCACAAAGTTACAGAGACTCAGGATATTAAATTCTGGGGACTTAATAAACAGCAGTTCTGTGCGGGGATCTGGAGGGTAACCTATTAGTCAAAACGCACTTTAGGCCAAAATAAAAGTCTCTGTTCATTTATTTCTGTTCAGAAAACATGGGAGTTCAAATGGAAATATATCTAAAAAAAGATTCATTGCCATGTAAAGTGACAAAGCTGAATTACAGATCAGAAAAGATTAATTTGGACAATGGGAATGCCAGCTTTGCTTTTGTATGATTAATGATAAAGGTAAGACATAGTAATTGATGACTTATTGATGAGATAAAATATGCTTAGATGTATCATATGTGCAAGTTATATTCTCCTGAAAATTTAGTGTTATAAATAGTTTAGACCAAACAGAGACATTGTTGACAAAATTTGATTACGTGGCCTGAAAAATATACTCATTTCTAATATCTAGTTAATCTAACCATGATGTATTAAAGTTCTATGCATTTTTTACTCTTACATAGATGACACTTTCTTCTTTAACAGAGCGTGTCACTCACAGACGACATGCTAGGCAGTCTTTAACGGTAGAGTGCCACACTTTTACAAAGTCTTCAGTGTTCATAAAGTATGTTATCTACAGTGATAATACAGAGCTTATTATGTTTTATGTAAGCAGTAGCTTAAATTAGTAGAAAATTTACTTGGAAAGGGTAGTACAAATGTTAGTTTGGAATTTTAGTGGAGAATACTTCTTAAAAAATGGATTGTAAAATTAGGCATGTTTTCTTTAGAAAAAAAAATTCTTTTTTTGGCAGTAAAATATGATAAAATAGTGTTTTGAAATTGTATGACTTGTAATATTAGTGATAAATTATTGATTTGTACATGCTCCTTGTTTTAAGAACAAAAATTACTTGTCACTAGTGTATTTAAAAACATGGGTAACTTTGGAGATTCAGGCTGAACAAATGTAACAGCTGGACATAACAGAGCAGTTCCATGATCTTAATCGAGTCACACAACATTTTTCACACTTCAACATGCTATCATGTCAACATGAATTACAACCAGTTTGAATTTAGTATTATTTTACAAATAGAAAAAAAATCATAGAAATCAAATCATACCTTTTAAATATGCATTAGTAGCAAGCCAATTCAACAAAAACAGTCATAAGGCCATGTCTTTAAATGAAATATAATTGAAATAAAATAAATATATATAGTAGGTTACAAAAGCTCAAACAAGGGTGCACATGACTGTGTGTGAAATCCAGAAACACACAATTCATATATTCCTATGATTGTGCCATGAGTTATTTATTTGAAGAGACTAGATTGTTAACCCTCACACCTGACATCGACAATGGGGGTACTTTTGCTGGTGATATTTTTTGGCATCATGGTTTCAAATACAAATTACATGGAAAAAGAAAGAAGAAAAGATGAAGGAATGAAAGAGAAGTGAGTGATGATTTTCAATAACTAACTGTATCATTTCTTTTTATAACATAATATTAATTGATATATGTATAATGGCAAAGAAACTAACAAGAGTGCATATTTTAGTTCTCAAGCAAAGTGAAACTCAGGTATATTAGTATATATTTCCCATGATTTGAAATCATTACTGCATTTAATTGCTTGACAATTATTTTTGTCACATCAATTTAATGGTTAAACTAATTATTTATATTACAAAACATAGCTTTGCATCACACACTAATTGAAAAACACAAGCAGTTCTTCAGTGTTGCTTAGCCTATACATTATTAATATTGGAAGGGCTAGGTCTAAAGATTTTGGGGGAAATTAGAATTCAGTCAGGTGATAAGAGGTTTTAGAGATTGAATGTGCAAGCTCAAAATTACAGCTCTCATAATCCTGTGTATGAGCTGAATGCCAAGTCAGGTAGACCTGATAACTATTATAAACATTTATTTCTCCTGCATTCTGGCAACATGAGCCACCTGCTCTTAGGACATTTTTATCCACAAGATGGCAGCTCTGTTTGCATGGTTAGTACTTGCAATATTCAACTTGAAAATCATAACTTGGTCATTTTTATTTTTCATTTTATATCAGATGTTTTTCTGTCTTCTGAAGAATTTTTTAAAAATCCTCAAACAATCCCAATAATTGAGCATTAATTAACCACAGTGCTGAGCCAAATTTTTGCTGAAGTGTTAGCAGATCATAAGAAAAATTTTTAACTGCACAAAAAATTTATTTTTAGAGTTTTGAAAGAAATCGCCATTCATCAAATCTACATGTTTCCTATGCTTGAATTTCTAGGTCATCAAAGCCAGCATTTAACAGATTCAATTTAAAGAGTGCAAAAAATTCTACTGACAGTAAAGGAAATGCTTATACCCCTCAAGGGTGTAAGCCCTTAGGTTAACAGGTTTCCTCTATGGAAAATTGCATCTTCAATTTTATTTAACTCTTAAACTCATCAAAAATCCTGATTTATGTTATTAAAATCTAATAGGTAACTTTATTTCTAAGGTAAAAAATGCTGATGTTTACGTGTAGGGATCAACCACATATAACGAATAACTTTTTGTCCCTTGTAATATTAATGAAGTATAAAAAAACATAAGTAACAGGCTCTAGCTCTTTTCAAGGAGATCATTCACGGCTGAAATGATTAGTAAGAGTAATTTCAAATTTGTGCCAAAAGTGTATATAAAATGTAAAAGCATTTTCTTTGTCAATGAAACACAGCACATTAAAATGAAACTTTAATGAAACAATGCCTAATTTAACATGGAAATAGTTTGCCCATGAGATGGCCATTTCAAAGGAAGTTATTTGGCCCAGGGTAACAGTCTGTGTGCAGTCTTTGATGCCACTTCTGGAGCAGAATCTTTTATACTTCAGAAAGGGGTAAGCAACTCAGTTACCTAAAATTTACCATTGATCAAGACCCTTTGCACATTATAAATCAGTGGATGGGAGCTTATAAGCTGTTGTAAATGCAAAATAGATTGATGTGACTTAGCTCTTCATGAAAAAGCAATAAATGGTTTCTTAAGTATCGTGGGCAGGAGTGCATCTGTGAATGCACAGCTAATGGGCAGTAACTTGCTAACATGTCAGCAAGGCAGTGATCCATGGCTTAGGGACCCTTACCCAGCTCTCACGGCATTTCACATAATAAAAAGCACAATTTGGGGCTGTGAAATTTCCAGAGGACAAGAGCATGGTTGGTAACCTAGGCCACATCAGCATTGACTAAATTGAGATATGCAGCAGAATAGAAGCAAATAAAAAATGTATAGAGAAAAAGGGTGATATGATAGAAGGGTAAAGGTAATTTGAGGTAGTTTAGACTTCTGTGAAGATAGGGCAAGCTGTCCAATGCATGACACGAGCCTGAACTCAGTCAGTTATCTCAGAGCAGATGATTCACTACAAATGACAATCCCACAGTGACTTGTTCATATAGCCACACTGTAAGAGCACACCTCTGATCTTGTCAGAGAATTGTTGTAACAGAAGTACTGGTCTTTCATCAGAGAATGTCAAAATACATTAATGTCATGAAGTTACATTTCCATTCCATAAACTAAGCTGTGAAAAGGGTGTCAAGAGAGAAGGGTTTCAGGTTTTCTCTCTGTGCGTGTGTGTGGTTCTATATCAGGGTTTCTTAGCAGTGGTAAGTTGACTGTTGTATTCTGGTCTACCATGTGAGGGTCTATTTTAATA